AGTGGGGCGTCAGTCAGCCCTCGAGTCACACGGTGCTGCGAGGCAGACGATCCATAATGCCTGAAAGAACAACGGTGTTTTCTTTTCTGACTAGGTCTCCTCTTTTTCCCCTGTAAACAAACTTGCTCCTTCTTTACAAAATGCTGCATAGGAAAGTAAAAGTTTTTTTGCCTTTTCCCAAAACTTGTATTTATCAGTGTCATTCTGCCTGTACAATATTTTGACTTAATCTTTTGTTTACTGTATTAATATAAAATGCTAAAACCCTTTGAGCGTGTGAAATTATTGGGGGTTATTTTCTTTGCTGGTTCTCTAAAGATCTTGATGAAGTTCCTGTAGTTGAACGAAGCCAGCGGTTTGTCACGGCGCCGGCTGCGCCGCAGCAGCCGAAGTGCACGGGCTGATTTCTGAGCTGCAGTTGCTGACAGTAAAAGCAGGAAGCCAAGTGCACTAACAGACTAAAGCTGCTCTCCTGTTGTTGCAGCAGAAGCAAACGGTTGGTCAATTTGCAATTATTCCTTATTTCTGAAACAAGTGGGGAAAAAATAAATTAAGTCTTCAGCACCTTCTGGAGAGGAAGAGGACACATTAGGAATTACTGCTGCAGCACACGTTGCCTGTCGTATGGTGTGCAGTGAATTAACTCCTCATAACTTCCTCAACAAGGGGCAATGGCTTTAAACTGAAAGGGGAGATTTAGATGAGATCTAAGGAAGAAATTCTTCCCTCTGAGGGTGGTGAGGCACTGGCACAGGTTGCCCAGAGAAGTTGTGGGTGCCCCATCCCTGGCAGTGTTCAAGGCCAGGTTGGATGGGGCTTTGGGCAACCTGGTGTAGTGGAGGGTGTCCCTGCCCATGGCAGGGGGGTTGGAACTGGATGGTCTTTGAGGTCCCTTCCAACCCAAACCATTCTCTGACTCTATGATTGAACTCCTGAAAGCCAGCTGGGCACATCGTGCCGTGCAGAGGTGGGAGCCTGGCACTCAAACACCCCACGCAGCACGCGGCGGTTCGCGGTTCCTGCTCCACGGGAGGCACAGGTTCTCTCACCGTTTATTTGCTGCAGCACCTCCCAAAACACAACATCAGAACTCGCGAACATGGAGTAAATGCAGTGGTACAGTCCTGCAGGGATGCTCACACCTTGTTCTTCAAGCCAGTAGAAATTTGCTCCTGTGTTCAAGTGGGCCGCAGCTAAATATTCCCAGAAATCTACTGAGCGGGGTCCTGGTGTCATCGTAGGCTATTCCAGAGCCACTGTTCTTTCAGGAGTTCCTTGATTCTTCAGGGTTTTCTGGCTGTCGTCTGCAGCTGCGTTTAGTGCTTGTCCCTCAGGTGCGAAGGACAAGAAGCCTCAGGTCCACGCGGCTTTCGGGTAACTGCAGAGCTAACGGGTCAAAACAAAGATTGTAACTTTTGAGGAAGAACAAATCTTCCGCGCATGCGCTATTCAGCATGCACGGAAGGTGCTTTGGAGTGTACAGGAAAAAATATTCTCCAAGAAAAAGCATCGGTAATGTTGAAGAGTTGAAACCTCAAGGCAGCAACGCCTCCTTCCAGCTTTCTCTGACTTGGGTGGCTCCTGTCTGGTCAATGCCAGAGGGGAGCGACTGTGCAGTAGCTCACAGTACGAAAAACACGATCTGCTGGGCACGCGGTTTAGGCAGGGCTACTCCAATTCGGCTCCGTTTTCGGAGGGAGGCGAAGCACGACGGAAGACAAAGACACTGAGCAGCTGAGATGCGCCGCACCGACCGCGTCAGTGCAGCTGCTGCTGCTGAAAATAGTGAGGACAACATCTGGGGCAGCAGCAACAAGGCTGCCTCAAAAGTTATTTAAAAATTGGGGTCTAAAGCATCGATCTCAGTGAAAGAAAAGCGATTTCTGAGGCAGAGCTAGGGGCCAGGGCAGGGGAAGGAGCGGGCCCAGTGTTCCGCCCTGGCACCGTGCAGCAACTCACGTGCCGATGAGAAACGATGGGAATTGTGCTGGCGTGAGGCTGCCGCCCTCCCCGCTGGGCTCGCGTCCCGGGTAACCCACACGGACGGGCTCCCCCATCCCGCTGCTGCCTACCCTGCCGCGGTGCCCGTCCTCAGCCACGCGCCTGGCCTCCCGCCGCACGGATTCCTCGCGGCGCTGCCGGGCTGAGCTCTCCTGCTCTTCCTCCTCCCGCTGGCGCTGCTGCTCCTCCTGTTCTTGTAAGCGGCGCGCTGTCAGCTGGGCACAGAGAAGAAGGGGCTGTCAGGGTGAGAGTGGGCACAGACTGGGCACCTTCAACAGCTGGTGCGTGTCTGGGAAGCTGTACCTGTGCCTCCAGCTCCTGCCTCCGGGCTGTCTTCAGTTCCTCCTCCTGCTCCTTCTCTCGCCTACTCAGCTCTTTTGCCTCTTCAAGTTCTTTAATCAGCTGCTCTCGATACTTTATGGACTCTTCTTGGGCTCGTCTGTTTAACTCCATCTTCTCTTGGATCTGGCGCTGCCTGCCTGCAAGGACCTGTGTGAAATGAGCATTAAGGGAGGAGGAAAGTCAAGATGCAAAACTGGGGAAATCTCAGTGCGGATGGTTAAACAGATCTCAGAAAACCCATCAGACGAGGAAAAATTCTGCTCTGAGTACTGAAGACTGTAACTCTCTGGAGGGTGGAGGGTTACACTGAACTAAGAGACAAACCTCATTCAAAAAAGGTCATCACCTCATTCATCAGGCGATCTCTGGCCTTCTTCTCTCTTTCCCATTCTTCTTCCCTCTTGTCCCACATTTTTTTAGCTTCTTCCCTAAAGGAGAGAGGAAGGATTATCTCTAAGGTTACCACTCAGTTAAAATACATCTCTCTCTACTCCATGGGCACAGATGAGCTGCCCTGTGCTCCAGAGGAGCACTCAGGTTTCTCTTCCTGTTTGTTCCCAGGCAGCAAGCGTGTCTGCCCCACCTCT